GAATTACAAATGCTTTTTCGATACACGTCGCCACTACTTCATATTTAAATATTATCAATATCGAATTTCTATTTCCTCTTCACGTTCTGCTCTATTCATCTTCAGTATCATCACTATTTTTTCTCGTTAATCTATTGTTCATCGTTATCATTATCTTCCTGTTTAACAGTTATCGGGACATTAAACCCACACTGTCTCAACTCATCAACTGATCGATAATGCAAATGCAACAGTGCAACAGGAAAACTAGATTTTATTTGAGCAGAAACCGTGGGATAAAAATACGCTGATATCGCACCAACCAGTTGAGGATTGTTATTTACTACATAGTTTTGCTGTTTTTTTTCCACTCCATAGAGGTCGATTGGTGGATAATTTGGTGGTGAGATTCCGTCGATTTTTATTAACACTCTAAACGGTCGTTGATACGTAGTATCCGTGGATGAAACTCGAACAGTGAAGTAGGTTGGTACGGTTCTAAAGGCTATATAGTGAAGATATGGACTACAACAAAAGTGAAAATATATTTTATTTGGAAATATGTAAATAAAAATGTATGTACATTGATTTAAATGCTGATGTTGGATCTTTAAAAACTTTCTTTTACCTTTCATTTCGTACTCTTGTTTTTTCATTGTCAACCCAATTTGGACTGGTATATCTATACTATGAGTATAAATTTCGATACTTATTCGTAAAACCATTCTCACCAAAGATCTATTAAATGACAAATGTTTATCAACATTACCGGTACACTATTTCTAGGTCCACAGTATTCATCAAGTAACATATCATTTACTAATACCTCAATTTCAAATCCTCGAAAATGCATTTTTTTTTTTTTTTTTTCGGGATTTCTAGATAAGCAGTCCTTAAATCCTATTTCTTTTTTCTCAAAATTAATATAAGTATGCAAAATGTTGTGTAATTTCATAAACTGAAAAGAAATAATTGAATGATAACGATCCACAACTTTTTTTTCAATAATCTGATTTAGCATTATCTTACTAATAATAGTTAAATTTTGGAATATCGATATGTGAGTGCGCCCTTATCTTTCATAAGACCTTCATCTGATTAACTACGTACAAATTTTTATTTATACGTACGTACGTATTATTAAAGTATACTTCGAATACGTACGTACGTAGTACGTATACTTCATTGCTTATTTCAAAAAAGTTACGTAGCATAGCGATAGTAGCAATCACATCAAAAATGGATAACTCAAAGTGCTAACTTTTTTTGATTCTATAATTTCAATTAAGCTATGTACATATTTTTTTCCTTTATCAGATGCGATTTACTTCTACGTACAAAAAACAGAATATATACGTAGATATGTTTAAGCAATAATACAGTTATATGGGCTGATTTATGGTATTGTTAACCTTTGATCTACGTACTAATCCGTTTTGGATTTTTTAACCACCAAAAATATTATTTTGATAAGATATTTTAACAAGTTCAAAATCATTAAAAATGAATCCTAAGATTACTTAAGTTTTGTATGAATTTATATTTTTAATAAAATTACTATAAATATTTAATATTCAATAATTTGAATCTATTGGTTTATTTTGGATAGTTTGATACTAAAACATTTATTTTAATAAGATAATTTTAATAAGTTTAAAATTATTAAAATCTAATTACAAAATTCTAAAATTGTTAAGATCAATTTATATAGAAAATTATCTAATTAATAGTTTTAATAATATTATAATATGAAATAATCTAAATTATTTAATTTTAATTAATTTTTTAAAAATAATATAACTTAATAAAAAATTTTAAATTAAATCTCTGTTTTAAGATTATTAATCACAAGATTATTGTTATAAAAAGCAAAGCCAGATCCTCAATTAGAAAATAACTAAAGAGTCATATTGTTACAAATCTATGAGAGAATAATAATACTAAATAAAGCAATATAGTAATAGCATTAGTAAAATATAAAAGCTAAAGCAAAAAAAGTAATTTAGTTTAGCTAACAAGTTCTAGCTTTGGGTATAATAATATATTAAAATAGTAATAATATAGAATTTTAGTTACCAATAAAATTATAGATAACAGAATTAAATTAAATTTTAATAAAATCAGAAACATGGTCTTACCATTATTATTTAAAACAAAATTATAGAAAACTAAATTATTATAAA